GTCCGGGTGGGAGGGGCAGGTCGTGGAGGTCCCTTGGCTAACCTCTGTCGCTCGTAGTGAGCGTAGATCAGCGGTGCAGACGCTTTCAAATCTGTTCCTGAAATCCACCGAGTGTCGTCGGGATCGCATGCTCTGAATGTAACTTTGTACTGGCGCGGCTTGCTGCCATACTTGCGATCTGAGATGACGCGGTCAACCTCCTGATGACCATCCATAGAAGGAGGGTCCTGCGATCGTCGGCCCGGGAAGTCATCGCTCTTAGCTGGTGTATATGTTGCCAGCTTTGACGCATGAAAGACTGGATGGACCGCCAAATGCTCAGGAATGCCGATCACAAATGAAGGGCCATCGGGCTCATCGCCCGCGGCTGATGTCACTGTCCATGGTCCAAACCATTTAGGGAGTAGTTTGCGTGAGACATCCTGTTCCAATGCAAACTTTTCCGAGGAGACCCAAACTCGATCTTTGGCGCGGGTGGGACATGGTACGCGGCGCCTGTTGGCTTGCTGCTGCATGCGGACTTGAGCCTTTTGCATGTTTGTGCGGGCTTGAGCCAGCAATTCCCTGTACTTCCGGATGGAAGCGGGAGAGCAAGCGGCGTCAATGTCGGCTGGTCGAGGGAGGAGAAGATCAGCGAAGATACGGCCTTTCCGTCCACCGTGGTGCAACTCGAATGGAGTCACACCGATCGCCGGGTGCACTGAAGTGTTGTAGGCGAACTTGATGTCGGGGAGGCGGTCAACCCAATCTTTCTGGTCCGGACGGATGAGTGTACGAAGCATCATTTGAGCGGTCTGATGTGCCCGCTCCGTTTGCCCGTCTGTCTGTGGATGCCGAGCCGAACTGGGTTTCATCGTCGTGCCGGACTCCTGCATGAGAGAGGTCCAAATAGTCGACATGAAACGAGTGTTGCGGTCGCTGACTATGTCCTCGGGTACGCTGTGGCCACAAATCCATCCGGTGTGCAAGAGGCGTGCCAACTCGGGAGCCATGGAGTAGTACTTGCAAGGAAGAAAACGTGCGTACTTGCTCAATCGGTCCACAACCGTGAGGATGTCGTCGTGCCCGAGCCGGTCTCGAGGAAACAGACCGGTGACATCCATAGCAATGGAGATACCGGGTTCCCGGGGGATAGGCATCGGGCGTAACTCGCCATAGGGATTGCGGTTGCGGGGTTTGCTGCGTCGACAAACTTCGCAAGAATCGCAATACCGCATGACATCGGAAATGAGGTCGGGCCATCGGAATCGTTGTTGAAGCCGTGCAATCGTGCGATTGACTCCGAAATGGTCGGCGAGTCGCGAATCATGATACTCGCCGAGAAGGCGAGTCCGAAGACGGCGGTCACGTGGGACACACAGCAAGTCCTTGCCTCTCGAGTGGAGGAGCAAGTACCCGTCGACAATGCGATAGTGGCTGGCCGGCGGGTGATCCGAAGATAGCTGCGCATACAACGTAGCAAACTCTGGGTCAGACTGATAGCCCCTGATGAAGTGTCGCTGGAGGTCCTCGTCGAACGCGAAGGCGTGATGCGTCATAGCGCAAAGATCAGGTCGTCGCGAAAGTGCATCTGCTGCGCGATTGGAGAGGCCGTCAACGTGTTTCGGTGTGAAGTCAAACTGGTCGATGAAGTACATCCACCGTCCAATCGTGGTGCTCACCGTGTCCTGCGTCTTGTAGTAGGTCAATGGGTTATTGTCCATGACCCATGTGAACCTACGACGCCCAAGAAGGAAGTGCCGCCATCGCTTGAGAGCCATGACGAACGCAACCAACTCCTTCTTCCTTGCATCATCTAGAGAATTGATGGGAGGCACTTTGTGGCTGAAATACTCCACAGGGTGCCAATCCTCACCGTCGTGCTGCTCCAAGACTGCCCCAATGCCGTAACCGGAAGCGTCAGTCGTCACTCTGGTAGGCAGAGTAGGGTCGTAGATGCTAAGGACGGGTGCCATGAGCATGGTCGTCTTGAGTGCTTGGAAAGCCTGGCGCGCGTCGTCATCGAATACGAATGGCACCTTTGGCGATTATAGTCTCGTCAGAGGTGCGGCAATCCTTGAGTATCCGGTGATGAAACGCTGATAATAGCCTGCCAACCCATGAATGAACGAACGTCCGTGGTGTTGGTGGGCTCGGGCCATACGCGGATGGCCTCGATCTTGTCCGCAAGCGGACGGATGCCTTGCGGCGTCACAT